CTGGCCAGTATGACAAAGTTCTGTCTCTACTAAATATACGAAATTAGCCGGGTGTGGTGCAGAGCACCTGTAATCCCAGCTACTTTGGAGGCTGCGGCAGGAGAATCATTTGAACTTGGGAGGCAGAAGTTGCCATGAGCCAAGATGATGCCACTGCACTCTAGCCTTGGCAACAGACTGAGACTCCATATCAAAAAAAAAAAAAAAAAAAAGAATCAAAATCTTGTAATTTACTTTCTTCTGCACTTTACTATCATCACTGAATTCCTATAGTTACTCCCATTAAGTCAGGGCAGGTAATAATCCCCACTGAAGAGAGACGGAATTTCACTGTGGGACTAGTACAGAGGAGCAAAAAAGTTCGAGAAGAGAAGTTAGAGGCTCTCACCATAGACTTGGGGCCCAGTGCACTAGGAATAACACTGTTCAAGTCTAAAGAAATTCAGATGGAGAGGCTATAGATTCAATGGCATTGGGGAAATGGATCCTCATCTTGATTTTTGCTTTTCAGACTCCAGAAAATACCCAGATGATTTAATTCTACTCAGACCACTAAGTCTTTATCTTCAGAAAATATTACCATTCATCTATTACCTACCACTATACCCTCCAATTTTTTTTTTTTTAAAGATGGGGTTTCACCATGAGGGCCAGGCTGGTCTTGAACTCTTTGACCTCAGGTGATCCACCCACCTCGGCCTCCCAAAGTGCTAGGATTATAGGCGTGAGCCACTGTGCCCAGCATACCCTCCAATTTTTATGTATGTGTCTTAACATGAAAGGATAATTCATCTGATAATCATTAGAAGGACTCAAACTGAAGATTTCGTAAGCTATTTTATCCACCTTCTTTAGGAAATAAACTATAGGTGTCTGCCATGCCAACAGTCCTCTTCTGGGGAAAGTGGCCCTATCAGGTACAATCTACATGTTTATTTGGGTTTGCCTGTGCATCAACTCTAACTAACTGAATTACTCAATTCAGAAACCTGTGTCATTTTTCATTCTTTCTTCTCTTACTACCTATAACCCTTCAGCAAGTTCTGACATTTTCCCTCTAATTATATCTAAAAACCTTCTATTTCTCTCCATCTCAACTATAAACAACTCCTCTAGGCCATCATTCTCTTTTTGTTGGGTACTACAGTTGCCTTTTATTTTTTAATCTTTTCTTTCCTTGGGTACTACAATTGCCTTTTTTTAAATCTCTTTTAATCTCCCTACTTCCAATCTTATCTGCTGTTTTGTGTTTAAAGTAGCCAAAATAATAAGGCTTACTAAAAACGTAGTTGAACTTTTCTTTTTTTTTTTTTTTTTTTTTGAGACAGAGTTTCGCTCTTGTTACCCAGGCTGGAGTGCAATGGCGCGATCTCGGCTCACCGCAACCTCCGCCTCCCGGGTTCAGGCAATTCTCCTGCCTCAGCCTCCTGAATAGCTGGGATTACAGGCACACGCCACCATGCCCAGCTAATTTTTTGTAGTTTTAGTAGAGACGGGGTTTCACCATGTTGACCAGGATGGTCTCGATCTCTTGACCTCGTGATCCACCCGCCTCGGCCTCCCACAGTGCTGGGATTACAGGCTTGAGCCACCGCGCCCGGCCTTAACTTTTCTTAAAGTTTAATTAAAATAATCATTTAAATGTGAGAAAAACTGGTTATCAATATTTTATTCTTTAGATATAGAAACTTAATAAAGAATCAATGAAAACGAACAGTAACAGTGAATATCTTTCACCCCTTGTCAAAAGTCCTAAGGATGATGAAGAACTCATACCCAGTTTCAAGAATATCGGCTTATAATACGTCTTCCCTACCCAGAGCTAGAGTTAACACAAAGTAATCTCAGAGAGGAACAGAAACCTATGGCTATCTGGGCATGTTTCCTCTGTGCAACCAAAAAGAAACTAAGGAGCACTGCTATCATTTATCAACTACTTACTATTCTTTCATTAATCAAATATTTACTGAGAGCCAACTATGTGCTAGCCACTGTAAATGCTGAAGATGGAACAACGAAACAAAAAGACAAGCCCCTTCTTTCACAAGGTTGAGTCTACTTACAATGAAGAAAATTAAAGTGCAACTAGACATTTCATGCAGAGACAGGTGGAATACACATATTTTCTAATCAAACTGCTTTCACACAACAAATGCAACTTAAAATCCTCTATTTTCATGTACTATGACATTGTAAATGCTCATCCCCCTCCTTCCATTATAAATGCATGGTTATGGCCAGGCATGGAGGCTCATGCCTGTAATCCCAGCACTTTGGGAGGCCAAGGTGGGCAGATCACCTAAAGTCAGGAGTCTGAGACCAGCTTGGCAAACATGGTGAAACCTAGTCTCTACTAAAAATACAAAAAGTAGCTGGGAGTGGTGGTGCATGCCTGTAGTCTCCACTACTCAGGAGGCTGAGGCAGAAGAATCGCTTGAACCCAGGAGGCAGAGGTTGCAATGAGCTGAGATGGCACAACTGCACTCCAGACTGGGCAACAGAGCAAGACTCCGTCTCAAAAACAAAACAAAAATGCATGGGGCTGGGTGCAGTGGCTCACGCCTGTATTCCCAGCACTTTTGGAGGCTGAGGCAGGCAGATCACAAGGTCAGGAGTTCAAGACCAGCCTGGCCAATACGGTGAAACCTCATCTCTACTAAAAACACAAAAATTCCTGGGGCATGGTGATGCGCACCTGTAGTCCCAGCTACTCAGGAGGCTGAGGCAGGAAAATCACTTGAACCTGGGAGGCAGAGGTTGTAGTGAGCTGAGATCATGCCACTGCATTCCGGCCTGGGTGACAGAACGAGACACTGTCTCAAAAGGAAAAAAAAAATGTATGGTTATGAGATAGCTGATCCACATGTAGCACGATACCACATTCCAGACAGAAAGTGGGAAAAGAATGCATGCCCACTGAACCTGCCCCACCTCATCCCCACACTTCTAAAGAACTGCCTGAGCAATTGGGCGCAGTGGCGCATGCCTGTAACCCCACCGCTTTGGGAGGCCGAGGTGGGTGGATCACCTGAGGTCAGGAGTTCGAGACCAGCCTGGCCAACATGGTGAAACCCTGTCTCTACTAAAAATACAAAATCAGCCAGATATGGTGGCAGGTGCCTGTAATCCAGCTACTCAGTCTGAGGCTGAGGCAGGAGAATTGCTTGAACCCCAGGAGGTGGAGGTTGCAGTGAGCCGAGATTGCACCACTGCACTCCAACCTGGGCAACAGTGAGACTCCATCTCAAACAAACAAACAAACACACAACAGAGAACTGTCTGAGAAGCCCAATCTAAGAACTTTTACTTACATCAACAGAGGAAGCTAGAACATGTAGAGTTTGTTTGTTGTTGTTGTTTTGTTTTTTATTTCAGCAGGGCAAACAAACAATATTAGGACTTTTATAGCAATAAAGAAGGGAACTGATATTGGGTTGGCCAATACGTGGCAAAACAACAGCATCTACAATATATTCTCAAATATCTTCCAATTATGCAGGAAGTTAAAATATCACTTAAATGAAAACATTAGATACATGTCAATATGTGCATATACAAGTGTATATATTTGTATGTATATGCATATATATCTATATATGTATATAGGAGTATATAGGAAAAACCAAACTGTGCATACAAGATGAACTGAACCATTTACTACATTAATAAGAGAAAATCAGGAAGATATTTCCAAAAAGAAACAGAAGATTCCAAGTTACCAGATAAATCCTTTGGGCATTTGCTAAGGAAAAAAAAATCACGTCTTGGAAAAATAGAGAAAACTTCAAGGCACCTTAAACATGGCTTTTAGATATCAGAATCATTATTTCCTCTCCTCTGGGGAACCTCTCTTGGAGGGCAGAAACGGGAAAGGAGACAATACACCTCCCCTGGGGCCCAAATGACAACTCCAGGAGTTTACTCTGCGTTCCCCTCCCCCTGCCACGGAAGGGCTTTCAGAAAACTGTGGCTACCAATTCAAACTCAGTGTCATAGAAAACTGTCCTTTACTATCACGGGACTGAGCTATTTTCTGCTCTCACATATGACTTCGTGTGACATTTGGTCAGACACACAAACAGAGTCTCAACTCCAGACACACACACTGCTTCACTCACATACCCGCCACTGGACACAAAGTTAAAAGCACTCACCCTCCATGCTCCCACACAGGGACACAGAGTCACAAGCACACAAGTACAAAGCTCCCTCTATCTGCACACAGACGAACATATTGGTCACAGAGTCACAATCACACACCCACCGCGGGCAGGCAGTCACAGCAAACCACACCCTCACACACAGTTACACAGTCACACATTAACAGTCCTAACACAGGGACTCACGGGATACCCGAAGAATCCTCCCCACATCCGCACACAGGGTGTCATACATAGTCACAAAAACACATACACAGTGCCAGAATATACTGTCACAAAAATTACAATTTCACAACCGCCCTTCCTCGGCCCGTTCCGCCTGAAGAGACTTAATACTCAGTCTCAACCCCCGCACCCGGTTCTAGACGCTTCACCTCCAGCCTCCTACGGACTCAGTAGTCTCCAAATCGACCTACTCAGAGCCCAGCACCTAAGTCTCGTGCACTTCTCCACAGAGCCGCGGGCGTCACGGGGGCAGGGGCCGAGGGCCCGGTGCCTTCTGGGAAATGTAGTTCAGCGCCACGCCCGCGATGGGCAAGATGGCGCCCCGTTTGAGCCCAGCCAAAGGCATTGTTACTCTCATTCCCGAACCGTGCCTGAGAGTCTCCTGGGGTTCCTGGCTTAGTATCGCACCATGGCTCCTACATGAAGTCCACACAGCATCTTTAAGCTGATCTTAACACTTGCGACACAACACTACCCTCTCCCAGGGGTAGCGTAAACTAAGACTCGGCCTTTCCCTCCTGCCAGGAAGACAATCCCCACAAGCTCTGGCAAAGGAAAGAAACTTCGCGCGAAAAGCTGACTCAAACCGCTGAACCTTCTGGGAATTGTAGTCCACCCTCAAAAGAGTGGCACGGAGGACGGACCAACGTCCGGTTCTGAGCCCGGGCCTGACCGAGCCCAGGAGACCTCTGGGAGCGCTGCCCACCGAAGGAGTGCGCAAGCGCCGACTCTACGGCTCGCCATGGTGGTCTTTGTCTGCTGGTGAGTTGGGTTTCGGCTCTGTGGGACTCGGCTTTCTGGACGCTGTAACGGGCCAGGGACGCTGAATGGGAGGATTTGCTGTGCCTGCGACGGGGCTGGGGAATGTGAAGGGGAGGAATCGTCTCCTGTGATGTGCGGTGATCAGAGCTTGTGTGACTGGGGCAGGCGTACAGTAGGAAGCGGGTGGGGTGACCGAGGGTGTGAGGCGGAGGTGAGGGTTACAGAGTTAGTAAGAAACTGGTTCCAAGTTTGTGAGGATGGACGGATGGCTTTGTAGGTAGTAACCTCTAAGCCTCACTTTTCTCATTTCTAAAATAATAAGGATGCGTTTTCTGGAAAATAGGAAAGGGAAAAGGCTAAGGAATTGAGCGGGTAAGTAATTTTAAACGTGATTTTTATGTAAAAGCAGACCTGTTGTGGAGTAGAAAACAAAATCAGCGTTACCTTTCCATTATTTTTTTAAAGAGGAAAGATTTCCGAAAAACTTGTTACTGGATGCCTGTACACCCAGTAGGCATTGACTTTTCTTAATACTTTGGAGAAACTTTGGTGCGGTTGCTTTGAGAAACCCTAAACTAAGGAATATCTTTAAGAGGTAGTTTCCACTAGTGCAGACAGCACAGAATTGGAAAGCTAATTGTCCTGCCTTTAGCGCAGAGGTCAAGAAACTCCCTAATTCGTCTAGGAGGGCAGCAATCTGACTTCTAATTTAATCAGGTTTTCCCAGCCTTTTGTAAATATAGGGGAAATTTTTTTCTTCTATGTACAAAGATACAAGTATTCTGTCTTCAAGTATCTTGTCACACTCATGCTTAACATATTTTTCAATAAAATAAAAAATAACAGGTTTTGAAATATACAAAAAAAGTAAAAGATACAAAGAAGACAGGACTTAGTTTCTGCTTTTTTCTTAACTATTGGTGTTTCTAAGTTTCTGGCCTTGATCATCTTTTCACCTGTAAGTACTCCTATCGGCCACAACATTTCACTGCCATGGCTTCATCTGACACAGATGACTAATAAATGTCTGTTTCTATCGCAGGCTTGTCCTGAGCACCTGATCCTTATTATTCCAACTGCCCAGTGTGCAGTCCACCTGGAAGTTGCATAGGAACTTCAAGCTCTTTATGTTTAAAATGTCAAACTGAGGGCCGGGCGCGGTGGCTCACGCCTGTAATCCCAGCACTTTGGGAGGCCGAGGCGAGTGGATCACGAGGTCAAGAGATCAAGACCATCTTGGTCAACACGGTGAAACCCCGTCTCTACTAAAAATACAAAAAATCAGCTGGGCATGCTGGCATGTGCCCATAATCCCAGCTACTCAGGAGGCTGAGGCAGGAGAATTGCCTGAACCCAGGAGGCGGAGGTTGCGGTGACCCAAGATCGCGCCATTGCACTCCAGCCTGGGTAACAAGAGCAAAACTCCGTCTCAAAAAATAAAATAAAATAAAATGTCGTACTGATAGCTCCTTCTTCCTGCACTCTGCCTCCATCTATTTCCCCTCTTTACCTGTTTCAGCAATTCATAGCACTGTCTAGCCAGGTTCTAAGGCTCTTACATCTTAGAGAAAGCTTCTGAGTAAGTTTGAGCCTTTCATTTATCATATCCCATTACAAATTGTTAACCAAGCATTCTCAGTACACATAATCATAAATGTATACGTTTGCTGAATCAGTGAAAGAGCATACAGTCAGCGCTATGTATATGTAGGTTCTGCCTCCATGGATTGAACAAACCATGAATCAGAAATGTTGTTAAGCTTGCAATGGTTATGTCTGTACTGAACATGTACAGACTTTTTTTTCTTGTCATGATTCCCTAAACAATACAGTATAACAACTATTTGCAAGGCATTTACATTGTATTAGGTATTATAAATAATCTGGAGATGACTTAAAGTATATGGGAGGATGTGCATAGGTTATATATAAATATACTTCCGTATACTTTATTTTTATTTTTTTGAGATGGAGTCTCACTGTCACCCAGGCTGAAGTACAGTAGAGCAATCTCTGCCCACTGCAGCCTCCACCTCCCAGGTTCAAGCGAGTCTTCTGCCTCAGCCTCCCAAGTAGCAGGGGTACAGATGCGTGCCATCATGCCCAGCTAATTTTTGTATTTTTAGTAGAGATGGGTTTTCACCTTATTGTCCAGGCTGGTTTCGAACTCCTGATCTCAGGTGGTCTGCCCACCTCAGCCTCCAAAAGTTCAGGTATTACAGGTGTGAGCCACTGCACCTGGCCTCATATACTTTAAATGAGCATCTGCAAGATTTTGGTATCTACAGTGATCCTGGAACCAATCCCCTGTGATATCAAGAGAAGACTATTATTATAGGACACTTACTATATTTAACTCTCCTGGTTAACCTAAGTAAAATATTAGTCCTCTTAAATTTTTTTAGAGCTCTGACTTATAAATAACATCAGAATAACTTCCTGTATTTTTTTCCATATTACTCAAGATTGATTACTTCATATTTATGAGAAAAGTGTTGTTATGGGGAAAATGATATTCAAAAATGTGACTTGAATCAGGAGCAAGGTCACAAGTGACACCTGCTCAAATGAACCTGTACAGGTTGTGAGTGTGGATAACTCTGGCATCTTAGTCTCTCATAGTTTCTCTGTAAATCCCATAATAAGGTCCCATCTGTCTCTCATTTTTGAAATGTGTAGAGCTTTTTTTTTTTTCCTTCTCTGAGGCACAGTCTCCCTCTGTCGCTTAGGCTGGAGTGCAGTGGCTTGACCTCGGCTCACTGAAACCTCTGCCTCCTGGTTTCAAATGATTCTCCTGCCTCAGCCTCCCGAGTAGCTGGGATTACAGGCGCCCATCACCACGCCTGGCTAATTTTTGTATTTTTAGTAGAGACTAAACGAGGTTTTACCACATTGTCCAGGCTGGTCTCAGACTCCTGACCTCAGGTGATCCGCTTGCCTCAGCCTCCCAAAGTGCTGAGATTACAGGTGTGAGCTACCATGCCCAGCCATTGAAATGTGTAGAGCTTTTGAATAGCATAATGGGTCTGGCCTGAGATGCTATGTACAAATACTCTTTTTTCCATTTGCTCACATGTAGGTCAAAGCCAAAGAGTCATCATTACTTTGTTCTTTTTCACAGGCCTGCTTCCTTGTACATCCGCAGGAGCTGCAAAACCTCTAACAGCTCTAAGGGCTCTGCCGGAATTCTGGGATGCTGCTTTGTTCCCCAACCATAACATCCACGTCCAGTGTCATATTTCAGTTCACAAGTTTAAAGTCAGCACTTAAGAACAGCAATGGATGATTGAGAAAGAAATGTAAAGAAGGTACTCTTTATGTGAGTAAGCGAGAACCTGGCAGGTATGAATGGGATAAAGGCTTATTATAGTTATTCAATGAGAGTTTGCAGCCTCTGAGTTTTTTTGTTTGTCTTTTTGAGCCTTTGTCTTTTAGAGTGACTATTGCTGGGAATTCTTTAGATACCTAAATGACATTTCCAGACCTTCTTCCTGACCTTCTTTCTCCCTGAATCTATACATCCCTTTTATCAGATTCTAGAGGACTGATTGCTCTTCTAAACTCTATTCTGGATGCCAGTCACTCTACATCATTTACAGCATCAATTTTATGATTTTTTACGGCCTCAATTTCACTTTTTTTCCTTTCACTAATATTTTCCATTTTTCACTTTTCCCTGTATGCCTAGACGCATTTCCTTAAGCATTCAGTCCTTCATAGATCTGTTAGCTTTCAAAAACTGGCATGTAAGTTCTTTCTTTAAAATGTAATCATTCTATGTGCAACTATTATGTATCAATAAAAAAATATTTCAAAAACTAGCAAGTAGATGCTTTTCTTTACAATTTAACTTTCTAGCATTCTTCCTCCTTCCATTGTTATATTCCTCAGAATTGAATTTTGCTTTCTTACTCTTATTTTCTGTTGTCTTCCTACCCCCAGCCATCATAGTCCAACACTATGTTACCTCCTGCTTTTTAACAATATTGCAGGCTTGGGAATTAGTGCTGATTTCCTATTAGTTCATTTCCCTGTTAATTTTAAAAAGAAATAATACTATTATTATCAAAGTTTAATATGTATGCTTGATAGAAAATTAAAATAATTGGGTATGTCTCTTCATTCCTGGCCTTCAGTTCCCTGTTTCCCAGAAATAGCCACTGTTAGCAGTGTCTGCTGTATGCTTCTAAATGTTTGTGTTTTATTTTTCTTGTTGATTTTTAGAGTCTTGCTGTGTTGCCCAGGCTGGAGTGCAGTGGTGCGATCTTGGCTCACTACAACTTCTGCCTCCTGGTTCAAGCAATACTCCTGCCTCAGCCTTGAGTAACTGGGACTACAGGCATGTGCCACCACGCCTGGCTAATTTTTGTATTTTTAGTAGAGATGAGGTTTCACCATGTTGGTCAGGCTGGTCTCAATTCCTGACCTCAGATGATCCACCCACCTCAGCCTCCCAAAGTGTTGGTATTACAGGTGTGAGGCACTGTGCCCAGCTGATTGTTTTTATGAGTATACAAAAAGGCTCTCAGGTACAGCAGTGACATGATTTGACTGTGAGAAGATTGCTGTGGCTGCTGTGTTGAGAATTGTAAAGAGTTAGTAAGACTGGTATGGAGGCTGTTAAATAATCCAGGAAGACATGTGGCTTAGACCTTGGTGGTCACAGTGAGGATTGTCCAAAACAGCCAGTAAGTTACAAGGTTGTAAAGAGTGTAATCTGACAGAAAGAAAAGTGTTGTTTGAGCAATGAGAAGAATGAGATTGCTATTTAAAGAGATGAGAAGAATTTGAGAGGAATTGGTTTGGGCCTGAAGCAAAAGCTTGAATAGGGCAGGGTAAGTTAGATCACTATTAGATATCCAAGTGGAAATGTTGAGTAGTCAGTTGGATATTTGAATCAGTTACTGAGGAGAGAGGTCCAAGCTGGTGATTAATATTTGTTAGGCATCTCATATTCATGATATGTAAAGCAATGACACAAGACTAAGAAGGCGCTTATCACGGTAAAGCTAAGTGACTATAATAAACCTCAAAATGTACCAGTTTAAGGAATGCAGGAATGGGTTTCTTGCTCATACGTGGTGAGTAGTCCAGATTAGCATGCTAACTTTGGTGTTTGTGGTCCCTGAAGGATGTGGATTCCTCCCAGGTTCTCTCTTTATTATCTGGTTGTGGTTGGAGCTGGATCAACAATGCATCCTGGTGTCAGCCAGATAGAAGATGGAGGAATTGCTCCTCTAGGACAGGAGTTCAGGAAACTTTTTCTATAAAGAGCCAGGTAGTAAATATTTACGTCTTTATAGGTTATAGGATCTCCATTGCAGCTACTCAACTCAAGCGTTATACTGTGAAAGTAGTCATGGAGAAGAAAATAAATAAATGTGACCATGTAAAACTCTTAGTTTGCCAACCCTTGTTTTAACAAGTCAGTATTTACACAGAATATAATTAAGAGTTTGCTTGCCATCAGAGCATTTTGATTACATTTTGAAAGTACTTTTTGTTTTATTTTTTGAGACAATCTTGCTCTCTCACTCACGCTGGAGTGCAGTGGCACAATCTTGGCTCACTGCAACCTGTGCCTCCCAAGTTCAAGCAGTTCTCCTGTCTCAGCCTCCCAGGTAGCTGCAATTTACAGGTGCCTGCCACCATGCTTGGCTAATTTTTCTATTTTTAGTAGAGACGGCATTTCACCATGTTGGCCCGGCTGGTCTTGAACTCCTGACCTTAAATGATCTGCCTGCCTCATCCTCCCCAAGTGCTGGGATTACAGACGTGTGCCACTCCACCTGAAAATATTTTTTAAATATGAGAATATTTAATTTTCTTAGATTCTGAGAATATTTTTAAAATATTAAATAAAATATTAAAAAATATTTTTTGACTATTACAAAAGTTTATTTAGCAAAAAGTCTAATATGAAAAATGTACATGACCTAATTTTTACATCATAGAACAGGCCCTATGGAGAGAGGATATGGGTTTCTCCGCTAAACAGCCATTATTTATACTTGTCCAAGGCTTCTAACATGATGATACTATTTCCTCGTATTACCACCATTCCAATATTGTTCTGTTGTCCGCTAGTCGCCATCTCCACACATTCAGCTATCACAAGATTCATAAAGGGATCAAATCCCCGCAGTATTCCTTGGACATGTCTGCCACCACTTAATTTCAGTGATAACTTCTTTTCCATAAATTTTTTCAACTCGGGAGGGTGAGCTTTGCTCATGATGGCTACTCCGCGGGCACACAGAGGCCAAAAAATATTTTTTAAACATGAGATAAATGTTGAAATAACCATTTTACTTGGTATTCTGATGACATTTTCTAGTTCAGTTCAGCATTGTCATTTACAGTGTTAAAAATTCAATTCTGATAAGTATGTATGAAGGAGATAGGGTTTTAATTACAAAGAAGTTGTAATTTTTAACTTTTTGGGGTTGTTTGGAATATAGTAGCATAAGTGATGATCTATTATGCATAACACCAATTTTCATAAATTTTAAAAAAGCAATTGGAAAACATAAATAATAATACCATTATCTAATCAAAGTTTAGTAAAATTCGCATACTAAGCCATCTATGCCTTGGGCTTAAGGGAGCAAGAGCTCTATTTTTTTTCTTCTTCTTCTTTATTTATTTTATTTCATTTATTTATTAAAAAAATTTTTTTTTGAGACAGAGTCTCACTCTGTCCCCAGGCTGGAATGCAGTGGTGCAATCTCAGCTCACTGCAACCTTTGCCTCCCAGGTTCCAGTGATTCCCCTGCGTCAGCCTCCTGAGTAGCTGGGATTACAGGTGCCTGCCACCATGACCAGCTAATTTTTTATATTTTTAGTAGAGACAGGGTTTTACCATGTTGGCCAAGTTGGGATCTTTTTAAATGGAATGTTCTTTGTACTCTGGGGCCTGTTAAGTATGTAGACTCATGATTTATAATTCTGGGAAGTGTTCTTTATTAGTTCTTTGAAAATGTCCTACATTCATTTTTCTTCATACTTTCTTTGGAACTGCTTTAGTAAATGTTGAGCCTTCTGGATTCTTCCAGTAACCCACTAATGTTCCAATCATTACACTCTTTCTTTCTCCCTTTCTTCTTCCAGTCTTCCTTTTTTTATTCTAGGAGATTTTCTAGACTGACTTTCTCCCAACATATTGAATTTGTAAGATCAATATCATATTGTTTATTTCTAAAACATTTCTTTATAGAACACTTAATATTTCATCACAGTGATAATAGTAATCTCCTAGCTTTCCAAGATATTAATTGTAATGTTATATGTGTGAGTTTTTCTGCTCTTTGCCTTGTATTTTGTTTGATCTAGCTTTGATGTTAGGGCTTTCATCAAATGTTTTCTGATCTTTAGCTCTACATTAATTTGTGTACATAAGTGGGGCTTGTAAAATGCTCGTTTTCACTGTGCAGCAATCACTAATACAGATGTGTTGCTTTCGATGATTCCAAATGTTAGTATCTGTAGGTGTTCTCACTGTCTTCTCATTTTTTTCAGTAAACAATTCTTCCATCATCTGATACCTAGCAACCACCAGCATTCTCGGAATCTTAACAGAAGAGACTCTATTACATGTATAAACTTTTATTCATTCTTCTCTTCTTACTATGATGCTCTCATCTACTTTGGTCATCACTAAATTTGTAGCTGCTTGGTTTTGTGTGGATGATAAACTTCATATTTCTGTCCAGCTAGGAGAGTTCAGTCATTACCTGGTCCTTTCACAGTCATTTTATAAGCCCTGCCTTCCACTCTTGCCCAGTCTCTCTGTTGATAGAGCCTATCTGTTAATATCTGTATTACAAACGTGTGTAGGGGCACCTACATCTGCTGGCTTTTCTTTAAACCACTCAGTTCTGCTGTTAATTTACAGTTCTCTATTTGCTTTCTTTCCAAAATTTCCTAAGACTTTTTTTTAAGAGACAAGGTCATACTCTGTCACCTAGTCTGGATTGCTGTGGCATGATCATAGCATCCTGCAGTCTCAGACTCCTGGGCTCAAGCGATCCTCCTGCTTGAACCTCCCAGGTAACTAAGACTACAGGTGTCTGCTACCATACCTGCCTAATTTTTTAAATTTTTGTAGAGATAAGGCCTCACTGTGCTGCTTGGGCTGATCTCAAACTCATGGCCTCAAATAATCCTCCTGCCTTGGCCTCCCAAAGTGCTGGGATTACAGGAATGAGCCACTATCTCTTGCCCTCGTAATACTTTTTGTCCACTGATGTCTTCTTAACCTTTTTGTTCTTGTAAGTATGTGCCCCTCTTCACTGTTTTACTGTCATTTTAATGATGTTTCAGGAAGACATAGAAACAAGCACCTTATTTAAACTTTCCTGTTCATTTTATTTATGCCCTGTCTTCCTAGGCTCTCTCAGTCTTTTAAGTATTTGTCCTTTCCTCCTGTTTCTCACCTATTTATGTTTTAAAGACCAAGACCAAGTCTTGCTCTGTCACTCAGGCCGTGGCACAATCATAGTTTATTGCAGTCTTTAAATCCTGGGCTCAAGCAATCTGCCCACCTTAACCTCCTGAGGACTACAGGAGGACTACAGGCTAGTTTTTAAATTTTTTATAGAGACAGGAGTCTCACTCTTTTACCCAGGCTATTCTCAAACTCCTGGCCTCAAGCAATTTTCCTGCCTCACGCTTCAGAAGTGCTGGGATTATAGGTGTGAACCACCACACCTGGACTTGTTTTCTCCCATTTTACTGATTTAGGAAGTGGGCTGGGTTACATTTAAAAGCAGTTAAAATTATACATACCTAGGAACGTCATTTGTATTTGAACTTTATACTGAGAGACTAGGCTTGGATAAAGAATCTATTTTACAATAACACATTTCTGAAATTATATTAATAATGGGAAACTTCACAGGTGTTAGTGATGTTATGTTGATGACAGTGATAACCTAATTTATTGAATGCTTATTACATGCCAAGCACTATATATTATGTATGTATTAACTCTTTTTCAATGATGATTTTTTTTGTAATTCCTTTTAGAAGAAGCCTGGGAAGTTTATAAACAGATAAAGACGCAACATGAAAGACTTGTAAGTTAAGTCTCATCTTTTTCTGAAAATACAGACTGAGGAAAAATTTAGGAAACGTATTTCCTCTGAACACAGTCGTTGATTATTCAAGACTACCCTTCTGTGTATGGGACTCAGTTTAAAAGAGTTTGAAACATAACTTATACACAATTTATACTTAAATATGAGAGAAGTTCTATAAGAACCATTAAGAATATAAAGAGATGTTATATTTTATCCCTTTTTGTAATCATCTCATCTCAGCGTAATCAATGTGAGAAAAATCTTTATTCATAAATTTAACTTTGTTAGATACCTGAGAATTAATATCGAAAACACACCATATGAATTTAGTGAATGTGGGAAAGCTTTCATTCTTATTACATCTTATTTGGTACTAGGGAAATCTCCTGATTAAATTCACATTCATGAAAGGAATGTTGGAAAGTCTTCAGCATGAATCAGATCTCCTTCAGCATGATCAAATTCATAGTGGAGAGAAACCTTATGAATGTAATGAATGTAGAAAAACCTTTAGCCTGAAGCAAAACTTCCTAGAACATAAGAAAATGCATACTGGAGAGAAATCTCATGAATGCACTGAATGTGGTAAAGTGTTCTCTCGAGTCTCATCCCTTACTCTGCACCTCAGAAGTCACACAGGGAAGAAAGCATATAAATGTAATAAATGTGGAAAAGCCTTCAGCCAGAAGGAAAACTTCCTTTCTCATCAGAAACATCATACTGGAGAGAAACCTTATGAATGTGGAAAAGTTTCTATTCAGATGCCAGCCCTCATCAGACACCAGAAAAATCATACAGGAACCAAACCCTATGCATGTAAGGAATGTGGCAAAGCGTTTAACAGCAGAGCGTATCTCACTGAGCATGAGAAAATTCATACTGGAGAAAAACCATTTGAATGTAATCAGTGTGGAAGAGCCTTCAGCCAGAAGCAATACCTCATTAAACATCAGAACATCCACACTGGAAAGAAGCCCTTTAAGTGTAGTGAGTGTGGAAAAGCTTTTAGCCAGAAGGAAAACCTTATTATACATCAGAGAATCCATACCGGAGAGAAACCTTATGAATGTAAAGGGTGTGGGAAAGCTTTCATTCAGAAGTCAAGCCTCATTAGACACCAGAGAAGCCACACAGGAGAGAAACCTTATACATGTAAGGAATGTGGGAAAGCCTTCAGTGGCAAATCAAATCTCACTGAGCATGAGAAAATTCATATTGGAGAGAAACCCTACAAATGTAATGAATGTGGAACAATCTTCAGGCAGAAGCAATACCTCATTAAACATCACAATATTCATACAGGAGAGAAACCCTATGAATGTAATAAATGTGGAAAAGCCTTCTCTCGAATCACATCACTTATTGTACATGTAAGAATTCATACAGGTGATAAGCCTTATGAGTGTAAGGTCTGTGGGAAAGCCTTCTGTCAAAGCTCATCTCTTACTGTGCATATGAGAAGCCATACAGGTGAGAAACCCTACGGTTGTAATGAATGTGGGAAAGCCTTTTCTCAGTTCTCAACTCTTGCTCTGCATATGAGAATCCATACTGGTGAAAAACCTTATCAGTGTAGTGAATGTGGGAAAGCTTTCAGCCAAAAGTCACATCACATTAGACACCAGAGAATTCATACCCATTAAAGTTCTCTATGAATGCCTTGGATTTAGCAAAACGTTCAGCAGATTTTACACTGAATAGTGTATTGGAAAATTCATTTTACATTAAAGTGACATGAATGTGGGAAGTCCAGCAGCAATTCAAAACTTAAATACTGTGATGTCTATTAAGTATTATAAAGAAAACCTGTACCCCCAAAACTCCCACAATAAGCATTGTTGATGCTCTACTTCTAGTATTCTCATTGAAGTTAGATTTAGTCATGTACACTACTTACTGTGTTCCTGGAAGGCCTACCAGATGCATTAAGAAATAGATATGAGACCAGGCATGGTGGCTCACGCCGTAATCCAAGCACTTTGGAGGCCAAGGCGGGCGGATCACCTGAGGTCGGGAATTCAAGACCAGCCTGACCAACATGGTGAAACCTATCTTTATTTAAAAAAAAAAAAAAATGAAAAAGAAATAGATATGAGACGTGTAAGGATTTGAAATTGAGACAAAATTATCATTTTTGTGATATGTTTTGCTACATGTATGACTTGTAAAAGTATAATCAAAATTATTTGTTGTTGAAACACTCATAAAATTGAGACTGAGAATGTTGAATTCAGAAATATGTACATGAATATATGGGGAACTGCTAATTGAATGAGGTGGTATCCCAAATTGGTGGAGAAATCATGGATTACTTAAAAATTAATTGACTCTTCATATGGAAAAATAATAGATTTCTACCATCATCATATATTAAAATATTTTTCTTAAGAATTCTAAAAGTATTGAAGACTAAAATGCAAAAAGCAATACTTAATCTAACAGTTTTATAGGAAATGTTTTTAAAACCTTGGGGCAGGAAAGAATTTCTAAAACATTCCAGAATACACAGCAGTTCCACTCTTGAGTACAGTAGTCCCTGATTTTCTGCAAGGGATGGACTCCAAGACCTCCAGTGGATACCTGAAACCCAGATAGTACCAAACTCCATGTTTTTTCGTGTGTGTGTGTGTGTGTATACACACATATATACCTATGATAAAATTTACAAATTAGATACAGCAAGAGATTTAAAACAATAATATAGGCCGGGCACGGTGGCTCAAGCCTGTAATCCCAGCACTTTGGGAGGCCGAGGCAGGTGGATCACGAGGTCAAGAGATTGAGGCCATCCTGGTCAAGATGGTGAAACCCCGTCTCTACTAAAAATGCAAAAAACATTAGCTGGGCATGGTGGCGTGTACCTGTAATCCCAGCTACTCAGGAGATTGAGGCAGGAGAATTGCCTGAACCCAGGAGGCGGAGGTTGCAGTGAGCCGAGATCGCGCCATTGCACTCCAGCCTGGGTAACAAGAGCGAAACTCCGTCTCAAAAAAACAAACAAACAAACAAACAAAATAATATATAATGGAACAATTATTACAATATACTGTAATAGTTATGTGAATATGATCTTTCTGTCAGAATACCTTCTTGTACTGTTGTCAACCATTTTTGAACTGTGGTGACCACAGGTAACTGAAACCATGGAAGGCAAAGCTCTGGATAAGGGGGAACTACTGTATATATCTATATATCTAAGAAACACATGAACACAGGGAGTCATACTGGTCTGTAGTTGCATAAGTCATTGTAGCATGCGTTACAGTAGCCAGAAATTGGGAAACATGCTTGTCTCCTGTGACATAGATGAATAAAATGTGATAGAGTAACATAGAATACTCTCTAGCAGTTAAGTGACAAATGAAGTCTATATATTAACAGATTTTTTTAAAACATTAAAGTGAAGAAAAATGATGAACATATTGTAATGATGCTCCTGTGAATTTGAATAAAATCAACACTAACCAGCTCTAGTACTAAGCATTGGTTATGGATAAATTATATAACACTAAAGAATGGATTGAAAGGGTATGCACTCTATTCCCAAAAGTGGAGTGGTTAACTCTAGGAAGAAAGGAGGTGGAAGGGAAATGTGACCAAGGATGCTAGTTAAAGGATACTTCAATTTTGTATTTATTTCTTACTAAAAAGAAACAAACATTCTAAGTAAACATAAAATGTTAATTCTGGGTGGTGGTAATATTTGTGTTCATTCTATCATTCATGCTATTTCCTTAAACTTCTGAAAATTAAAAAGCTCCAGATAGGAGTGAGGAAGCTGTACATGAAACATTATAATGGACTTAAATTACTAGTCAGATACTAATATTCTATAGAAGATATTTCTAAAATATCTTTAAAATATGAAATAATTTTTAATTGGAGTGGCAACTTAAATGCAATTAAACTAATGTGTCACAAGAGTAGTCTACATAATTTGTACGTAGTTCTAATCTGTACATAGTCTTGGAGGATATGATTTGCAACAGGTTCATTGGAGCACATTTAAGGATCATATTATTAAATATAGGCACAGATGTGGAGACAATTCGTTTTTACTAAAACATGAGAAATTTTAATACTCTGCACAACCAGTATTGGCATTAAAAATTAGCCACTTTGAAAATGAGAAAACTGTGTCACTCTTTAATTTTTTTTTTATAAGCCATTGAGTAAAACATTAACTTCTGGATTTCACCTTCACTTTTAACCTGCAGACTAAATTGCTTTCTTAATTATGTCAGACACACTCAAGTCAATCCTAACCCCCTTGTTACCTTGGGAAGATAGTGCTGAAAAAGGAGATCTCCCACCTAAACAGTGTTCTCTTATTTGAAGCCAGTCTTTTTGAGAATTTCTGTTTACTTGGATTTCTTTCCACAATAACTTGACAGAGAAAGCGTCTAATGATATTTTTGAATGATGATAAAAATGAGTATACAACACTTAAACCTTAGACTTATTTTAAATATATTAATTTCTTTTAAACTCAATGCAATGTTAATATTATAGCACTTCTTGTAGCATTTCTGGAGGTTGGTCTTGAGATAAGATTGAAAATGACAGTTGCTGATTTTCTGAGGTAATGTACCCGAATACCCAAATAAAATATACATATGTGTACATGAATCTAAACTGTTCTATTTCTCATTTTGCTTCACTTCATCTTTCATATTTTTTTAAGTGTTTTGCCCATGTACTAGTGCAGCTTTGAAGTCACCAGAATAACTAGGATTCAAATTCAGACCAAACCAGGAGGACTATCTTTTCATGCCTTTAGTTGGCCATAGTCCTGGACCCAGCAAAAAGAATGATTATGAGGGTCAGAGTAATATGAGCAATTGTTACATAATATTCTCTAATACCGTGTAGTATAAATTTGTTCAGCTGCCCACTTGTTTATTCACAGTTTGCTTATTTGTCAGTATAAACAATGCTACAATAAAAATTCATGTAATCATCCCTTAAATTTCAGTTGTTTTTATTTCTGTGGGTCAGATTTACAGGGAAGGGATTGGTAGATCAAAGGATATATGTTATTTAAATATTTTTAATATCCAAAAGAACAACATATCCTCTGCAATCGATCCTATGATACTACTTAATTGTATGCTGCTTTGATGAGTATAAACTTCATTTGCTACCAGATTTGCTTTGTGAATTTTCATATTGTTAGCTCATTTTTCTGTAGGATTATTTATCTTACTGCCCCTCCCTTTTTTTTTTCTTGAGTCAAGGTCTGGTTCTATTGCCCAGGCTGGAACACAATATGGCACAATCTTGGCTCACCGTCACTTCCACCTCCCAGACTCAAGCCATCCTCCTACCTCACCCTCCCAAGTAACTGGGACTACAGGCGTGTGCCATCATGCCAGGCTGTACTTCCTATTTTTTATAGTTGGGTTTCACCATGTTGCCCAGGCTGGTCTTGAAATTCTGAGCTCATGTGATCCACCCACTTTGGCCTCCTAAAGTACTGGGATTACAGGCGTGAACCATTGCATCCGACCATTTTATCTTAGTGTATTTTTAGCATCAAAGCTAACTATATAGAGAGACTTACAAATAATTGCCTTCTAATTATAGCCAACTTGGTCACACAAAATTTCTTTCATAAATTTATCGTTCATGAATGTTATTGTTAGAGATAGGCATGAGAGAGGCAGGTGAGGGCTTTCCCCCCACCCACTAGGAATGTCGGGTAATGGTTTGGCAGTTATCACACTGCCTCTTTAAAAGTTGTAATTCTGCCGGGCGCAGTGGCTCAAGCCTGTAATCCCAGCACTTTGGGAGGCCGAGGCGGGTGGATCACGAGGTCAAGAGATCAAGACCATCCTGGCCAACATGGTGAAACCCCGTCTCTACTAAAAATACAAAAAATTAGCTGGGCGTGGTGGTGCGTGCCTGTAATCCCAGCTACTCAGGAGGCTGAGGCAGGAGAATTGCCTGAACCCAGGAGGCGGAGGTTGCGGTGAGCCGAGATCGCGCCATTGCACTCCAGCCTGGGTAACATGAGTGAAACTCCGTCTCAAAAAAAAAAAAAAATCTTAAGTTGTAATTCTAAGGAAGGATAATCTCCTGATGGACCACACCTGTTAACATCAAGTGTTAATTGAATGCAGGCCCCAGGGAGAATCAGTTTCTTGGGCATGCGTGTTAAGAGACAGATTGGCGACACACGACTTTCCGGGGCAGATGCCACCAGAAAAAGGAAAAAAGCCTCAGATGGGCAGGTGTATAATTCCCTAAACACACTGCAGGTGCTCAATTCCCAAGGGTAAGGAAAGCATTGTGCCTTTGGGAAGCCCACGCAAAGGGAAGAATCATGGGAAAGAGGTGAGTCTATAAAGGTTAAAAGTCTCTCTTTTTTTTGGCCATCTTTTCTCTCTCAGACTTTTAGGTATCTGCTTGGCTCTCTTCCAGGTGAATTTTCCTTTCCTTACTGTTCTAAAGCCTTTTAAAATAAACTTCCACTCCTGCTCTGAAACTTGCCTCGGTTTCTTTTTCTGCTTTCCCTCAGTCAAATTCTTTCTTCAGAGGAGGCAAGGGTTGAAGTTGCTGAGGACTTGTATGAATATGCCACTGATAACAGGGTAATTTGGATCTCTGTCACCACTATATCACAACTTATTCAGACATTTAACAGTATGCTTTGACTCTGCTTTATCCTATGCTTTCTTTTAAAAAAAATTAGGACAAATATTTATCACATAAGATTCTTTTCATACAAAATTAATCTCTTTTCCTTTTTAATTTCCTTACCAAAAATGTATCTTAATATTCATAACTTCACATTGCTCTGCCCTATTGGCTCTTTTCTTTTTTATGAGATGGAGTCTCGCTCTGTCACCCGGGCTGAAGTGTAATGGCATGATCTCAGCTCACTGCAATCTCCACCTCCAGGGTTCAAGCAATTCTCTGCCTCAGCCTCCTGAGTAGCTGGGATTACAGGAGCCTGCCATCATTCCTGGCTAATTTTTGTATTTTTTTTTGTAGGTTTCACCATCTTGGCCTGGCTGGTTTTGAACTCCTGACACTGTGATCTGCCTGCCCCAGCCTCCCAAAGTGCTGGGATTACAGGCGTGAGCCACCCTGTCTGGCCTTACTGGTTCTTTTCTATCTGGTTTCTATTTCCTTCCTAAATCTGTATTTTGAAACAAACTTTCAACAATCTCTGAATTAGACCTATTCTCAGTAAACATTGTTATGCTTATCTTACAATTTTTCTAATCAAAACATTCTCTTTTTTTGGCACATGTTATATTACAGAATTATAAAAGAATTTTAACTCATAGGAAACTTGTGAAAGCCTAGGAAGCAAGAAATTTTGAATGTCTGTCACATATCAGTATGTGACAGTGTGAGAACCATTTTACAATTTTTTGAAACATACTTCTTCATAATTTTTCTGTGTATTAATAGATCACACATATGTAGTCTTTTTTGTTTTTGAAGTTTTGAAACAGGATCTAGCTCTCACCCAGGGTGGAGTGTAGTGTCAGTATCATAGCTCACTGCAGCCTTAAATTCCTCAGTTCAATTGATCCTCCTATTTCAGCCTCCTGAGTAGCTAGGACTACAGGGACACACCATCATGTCTGGCTAATTTTTTTAAATTTTTTTGTAGAGACAGCGTTTTACTTTGTTGACCAGGATGGCCTGAAATTCCTGGGCTCAAGCAATCCT